CTGAAAACTTTCCAGGCTGTGCGAGTCGTGCGACTGACTGTCCCAGACGCTCTGCTTTGTTTAAGAATAACGTTCATGAGGAGTCAGTGTGTGCTTACGAGACAGTCAGTGCGCGTCTTACACACACACGGCGCGCCTGCGGTTTTTAGTCTGTGCTAGGCTTCAAAACGGCGATCTCCTGTTATGGTAGAGCAACCTTGAACTCCGCCTCTGCAGGGGTTCTTCTGTGATTAAATGGGTTATGATTACAAGCAAATTCAGAGCAACTGAGTGCTTATCTAGAAAGATTACACCTTTGGCTGGAGGTGAGCCGCACTGAAACTTTACAACTAAATGTCTCTGGACAAGAAGAGTGAGAGAAGAGAAACAAAAGGACACTAACTCATCTGTACTTTGCTGCTGGTAAGCCCAGCAGTAAAGAGACGTTGGTCAATTGCTCTGAACTGATGAATTTACGAGCTGAGATCCTCGCTGTTCACGCTTGCAGATGTTAACTGGAAAAGTTATATACGCGTGAGCCTTTCTTCCTGGATTTGGCAGCTATGTATAATTATATTAAAATGGTTCTAGCGCACACACACACACACACACACACACACACACACACTGGGGTTCTCCTCACCCAAGGAAGGCCCTGGCCTTGGAGGGAAGGCCGGGAGGCACTCTGGGGCCAGGTTCGGACACACACCCTCCCCCTGCCCGGCTACCAGGTGACAGCTGACAGCCACAGCTGCGTGGCCCTGACCCCACACCACCAGCAGGGACCAAGGCGCATGCCCGAAGGGGCCTGAAACGCCGGCCGCCGTGGAGATCAGACACCAGGACAGCCTGATGCCATCTTCCGACCTGGGGTCGATGTTCACGAGATCTTTTTTCCAATTTGCCTTAATTAAAGAGACAGGCCAACTCATCTCCTCTCAGTCTGGTCACCAATCTTAATTCTGACGTCACCCAGCATCCTGGCAGTCGCTCACGGCCTTAAGCACTGGCACATGGAAAACATCATTATGCACTGTGTCTCTCGGACGGAGAAAGCCAGGCACATACCTGGGAATGAGCGGCTCCAGGGTCCAGACCCCCCTGCCCGCGCGTAGGGTGGAGAGCAGGGTGAGGACGTGGGCAGTGCTCTCTGCGGGTCAAAACAAAGCCAGCACACCAAGCAGCACTCAGGCAGGGCATCAGCGTTGCACACACGTGTACAGGCATGTGTGTACAATCACACGCGTGTGCCAGAGACAGCAAGGAGGAGGGCCACAGCAAACCCGTGGATGCAGAGACCGCAGTCAGGCAGCCAGTGTGCCTGAGAACGCCGTCGCAAACGCGGGGCCTGTGCCGAGTCACGCAGCACCGGCAGCTCGGCCGCGGCCCTTCCGTGGGTGGAGCCGGCCCCCCTTCGGCGTTCTGTGGAAATGGTTTCCAGCTTACTGCCTTCAGTTTCCTCTGAACAACAGCAGCGCTCTCCCTGCCTCATCAATTTAGGTGAAGTTTGCGGAGGGGAGACATTTACGTGGAAACAAAATGATTTCCAAGCCGGGAAGGCTGAGCCCGCGGGCACTGTTACTTTAAGGCCTCCCTCTCCAGGACTCAGGCCTGAGCAGAGCCCCCATCCCCAGGGAGAGGCCAGAACTGGTCAGAACTTCTCTGGCTCCAAAGGCGGCGACACCCCGCCTTCAAGCAGCGTGGACTCTGGCTGCTCGTTCCCGTCACGAGGGCAGAGGCCCCATGAGACCCGCAGGATGCACCGACGGGCTGGAAATGGAGATCCTTGAACCCCGTCCTGGAAACCTTGCACTGAACCCTTCTGCGGTGCACACGCTACAGTGCTTCTCAGAATGCGCCCCATCAGCACCGAGGGAGGTGGGGGGGGCGGTCCTGGGGGGTCCTTGTATCCCACCCTGCACCTGCCTGGGATCCACCACTTCCCATGGCCGCCCACCCTCCTCGGGAATCGGGGTGGGACCCAGAAAACTTTTCAATGAGGTCACAGGGCGTCCCTAACTTAGGGCAGCCCAGGTCCCCCTGGTGAGAGTTGGCTCCCATGACGTGTGTCCACAGCCAGCGAGGACGTCGTGGCCGCGCAAAGTGTGGCGTTGGCTACGCAGCTCTGTCCCCGTGGGCTCTTTAACCCGACCACCTTCCTCCGGGGCCTCGCCAGGCTGGGGCGCAGAAGGCTGCCTGCTGGACTTCACAGCCCCGGCCTGCTGGCGACGATGCTGTCACTCGCGGCCATCGGCCGACCAGACTTCCTGGCCACGGCCGACCTGGGCTGTGCTGTCCTCTCCTTTCTGCCCAAAATCTGCTACCTCAACACGCAGGACGTGCAGCTGGCGATGCCATTCGCATTCCTGCCGTGGCGCCCTCTGTCCTGTCCGCGGGGGCTGGCCTGGCGGCCATCGGGGGCAGCGGCCCTGCCTGGGCACGTCTGGGGAGCTTTGCGAAACCAGGCTGTGTCAGGCAGACCAGATGACAGCCTGGCCTTCGTCCCGCTGCCGGCGTTCGGCGTCCTGCTCGGCGTCCAGCGGGCCAGGCGGGCAGCTCCTACGCAGAGGGGTGCGGCCTCCGCTCAGCTGGTGGTTCCTGGTCGCCCTAACCACCATCGCCCTCCACCTCCCCTACCACAAGGCTCTCCTCCAGCAGGCCAGGCTTGAGCTGCAGAGAGACGGAGGCTCCCCCAGGGACGAGCCGCTTGGGAACCTCGCGGAGCTGGCCCTGCCTGGGGAGAGCTGTGCAGGCTCCCGGCCACCCTCCTCCCCACAGCCGTGTGGCTGGGCCCTGCTGAGTGTCGGAGCATCTCTGGCAGAGGTGCAGGCCGGGGAGGCCGGCAACAGCTTCCCCCTGAAGGGGCTCAAGTAGGAGCCCCTGCCCGTGGACATAAGCCACACAGGCCAGCGGGGGACTCTCCCAGCCCTGCAGAAACCCAGAGCGGCGTGCCGAGAGCCAACAGGGATGCCGGCTGTCCGGAAGGTGCTTACTGAAAACAAGCTTTATGGCTTTCAACTCAGTTTATACAAAAGCATGACACCTTAGCCCAAACCAATACTCACACCTGATGCTGGTGTGGGGAGTGAGTGCGGGCTGACACCTGACCAGGTGGAAGGTTCTAGCCTGTCTGCTGGCCAGCACCTCTCCCCTACCCCAACCAAAGGGCAAGGAAGGAATCTCAAATAACTGTATGGGCTTGTCATACCCTGGCCCTAAACGGTCGTGGCTGGTTGACCTCCAGCTCTGCCAGGAAGCAGGGGCCGCACAGATCTCAGCAAGAACAAACATTGGCTTTGTCTTTTTAATGCAGCATCACTGGGGGTCTGAGGACATCACCCACAGGCACAGGTGTCCAGCACTAAGACGACGGGTGTGAGCCCGTGGTGACCGTCGCACACCTGTCATGCTGTCCGTGACCCGGCGGACAGCGGGGGCCCGTCACCAGGAGCTCTGGATAGACCGGCAAAAAGCTGTTTCAAAAGCCTCATCTGTTCTATTCGACAGTACGTACAGAAAGGCTAGTAACACAGGAAACATAAAAATCCAAGGGAGGGTAATTAGTCTTATTCCAAAGCTACATCCATCAGTCTCACTGCATTTACATCACGGTTTTCTTGGTTGAGCAGAGAACAGGGACACGCAAAGGAAAGGCATCTTTCTGGCTTTATGAAACCTCTACCTTTGACAGCTTCGGTTTTTTTATTTTTTATTAAGGCCTTGCTTTTTTAGTTTTTAGATTCACAACAAAAATACGAAGAATTTTAAAATTTTGCATGTATCTCCTGCCCCCAAGCAGGCACAGCCGTCCCTCTCCAGGTGTCACGACCGATGAAGCGGCACTGACACACCTCCATGGCCCCGGTACAGCCTTTACACTGGGGCGCACTGGGTGGTGCCCACCGCCCAGCTGAGACAGGTGTATAATGACATCTACTACTTCTCTGTTACTTACTCACATATTCATGAAACCTCTACCATGGACCCCATGCAGCACGCCCACAAGGGACAGAGCTGGGGGTCAGGGGTGAGCCGCCCCCCGACCCAGACCATCAGCAGGACACGCAGCGTTGGCGCCGACGTGGAAAGGCTGCTTCTTCGTGTGACACATTTACCACCAGATGCTGGATGTGAAATTTTCCTTGTTGAGTGTTTCAGCATCACCGTCGTCCTTACAGAGCACTGACTCTGTTTGCCTGGGCGGGCAGGGTTCTCTGGAGAGCTGTGCTCAGGCTCTGTTAGTCGGGGTGCAGAGCAGCCTCAATACGCGGGTCCATCCTAGGGTCTCCGCGCACTGTCATGACTGCTCACAGATGGTGCGGGGCTAGAACAGGCCGCCTCTCGGGGCTGGGGCGGCGGGGGAGGGCTCAGCCTGTGGCTCCAAGGACGCTCGTGCCCCGCAGGCAGATTCAGCCAGAGTCCAGGGGCTGCTACCCAGACCTGGCCCCTCCCCTCCAGGACCGTGCTCAGCCTCCCAGAAGCCCAGCCCTTGTGCCCCCCCACCAGCGCCCGGGAACAGCCCCTCCTGGCCCAGGGGCAGGCACACAGACTCCGCAGCCCACCTCCCTCCAGGTCCACCCGCTGCTCGGCCTGTGGTGCCAACACCTGAGAAGAGCCCTTTCCTAGAGTCCATCCAGTTTTCTATGGTTTGTGGCAGGAGTGCAGGCCAGAAGGGAAAGGACCTCAATCAATCAATTCCCAGTAACAGACGCCAACGGCTTGCCAGTCTTAGAACCAGACGAGGCGACGGCAAGTCCACGAGTGCGCAGGGCTCCCTGAAGAAACGGCGGCCAAGCCTGGAGGAGCTGCTCACACTGCGTTTCTAAGTATATCGGCTAAAGGAACCATCTTAGGACCCGCCACAAGAATGTAAACTGGTGGCTCCCAAACTTTCTTTTTAGCAGCAGGAGCCTTTCTTTAAACAAAGCCTGAGACGACGAAGGGCTGCTCTGGCTGGAGGGGGGGGCAGGGCTGACCGCTGGAAGGTCGAGGCCCCCAGCCCCCACACCCCGTCCCTGCCCCCGCGGCTCTGCTCCACTCAGCCCGCATCCTGCACCCCGTGAGGACACACAGAGCCGGAGAGAGAGCTCCAGAGCCAACCGAGAGCTAAGCAAACACACAGGCTCTCTGGTGGCGGGGGGCACCTGACTCCAGGAGAGGGTGTGTGGGATAAAGCGGGGCTGACGGGGTGGGAAGCCGCCTCCTGGGGCTCCTCGCCCCTCCCAGGACACTGCTGGGGCCACTAGCATGGGGCTGGGACAAGGACCTGGGCCTGCAGCCCGGCCTTCTAGAGCATTCCACCCAGAGTCCCCAGGGATGGGACAGCCCCTCCCTGGGCAGACCCCTGTTCCTGTGCTGCTGGCAGGTCCTTCTCAAAGGCCAAAAGGAAACGTCCAGGAGGCTCCTGGCAACGGCACAGAGGAGCCAGCTGCCTGAGAGTCAACACCAGCCGGGCCCTGGGCCGTTGCCTCGAGTCGTAAATACCGTAAATACCGCGAGGCCATGCGCGCAATGGGCGCCTGCGCTGGGGCTGGGGAGCAGCAAACCCTTCCCACGACGGGGCTGCCCTCCGCCGGCAGCTGTCGGGCACACGCACTTGCGCACGTGCAGGACCGGGACTCGCGACACCAACAGGGGCACGACGGCTGTGTCGAGACGCGAGGAGCCCGGCGAGGGGAGCGCCAGTCGCGGCTCCGGCCGCCCCGCCCCGCAGCCCCACACAGAGCAGAGAGCTGTGTGAGGCGGGGCAGGGGCGGCGAGGGGCACCACCCAGCTGCTGACCCAGTTCGGGGATGGACAGGAAGATCCCAAGAACTGCAGTTCTGCCCCAAGACGAGCACCCTTCAGGCCAACGGTCAATGTGGGAGGCTCCCAGCGAGGAGAGGAGACCTCGGGCTCAGAGGCCCTCAGACGGGCCGAGCCCCAGCTCCGAGGCCCCGGTGACGTTCCTTCTGAGCTCGGTTTTCCCATCAGTGCACGGGGATACCGCCTCACCTGACGGAGCTCACGGAGGGTTCCGAGACGGTGGGCGCCACGCTGCCCAGTGCGGAGTAAGCGCTCTTTCAAGGCTGGATGTTAAAACGTACAGACGGGCTTCTCGCCTCACGAAAACGTCTACGAGGCCTCTTGGGCCCTGCCCGTGCGAACATCAACTGGGGTTCAGTAGCCTGACGCTCCCCCCAACACCGTGGGCTGGCCCTCACGCTGACCAGCTGCAGGAGGGTTGACCATTACTTACCCACCGGGGGCCACGAGAAAAGGGGGCCCGCGGCCTAGCGGCCCTGGCTCGGCCCGCGACCATCGGCCCCAGGTGAGTTCGGGGACACGTGGACGAGAGGCGGGGCTGCAGGCCGTGGTTCCCGCCAGGAGGGAGCGGCTGTGCTTCAGTGACGTGACTCTGCTATTTCAGGGTCTGAATTTGTGTTTTAGTCATTTATTTAACTCAAGGGGAAACTGTACTTTCTCATGACTCACTGCTCTCAAAATGGTGTCTCCAGCATTTCTAGCGTTGAAGCCATCTTGCGTGTGCAGCTGGCCAGAAACAGGTCTAAAATCAAATCAGCCCCATTTATGTGATCACGCCATTCTTTAAAAAGCGAACCTATTAGAAGCACAGCTGGAAAGAACCCTGAACATTAGTACTTTTCCATAAAAAATTCAACACTGTCTTCTGTGGAAACGTGTACATTTCCCAAAGGATGTTAAGTCAGCATCGCTCAAAAAACACCTTCAAGCTCACATGCACTCAGCTGGGAACAGAGCAGAAGGTTCACAGCACGCTGACCCCGGGGCTCAGGGACCCCGCCCTCACCCCACACTCCCGTCCCACCAGGCGGGGGCTCACACTGCAGCGGTGTGCTTCGTTCATCCACTCGGAGTTCAGTCTCACAGCTTCAAAAACCAAAGAGGTGAAAAAAGGGGCACCCAAGAGGAAGGTAGGAGATGGATTAAAATGCAGTGCTGATGACAACCACGCAACTCTCGCCGGCGGCCAGGGCACGGAGGGCCTGCAGAGCTCTCGGCCCCGAGCTGAGCGTGTCCGGGGACGCTTGGGGCGGTTTTGCCAGCCTCTCCAGGCCGATGGTGACATCCATCCGCCGGCAGGTGGGGCGCATGGTCAGTCGGCACTGGAAGTGGGGTCAGGCCGGTCCTGCCGGCACCAGGGCAGGCGCACAGCGGGAGGGCGGGAGCCCTGGCGGAAAGAGGGGTCTTAGGCAACACCTGCAGGACTGGCACCTCCAGGGGCTTCGGGAGCAAAGGGAAGGGGAGCGGAGGCTACTCGTCTACCCGACTCTGAGCTCACCTGCCGAAAATACCTGCTACTTGCTGGGTTTACATTTCTTTCTACAAGTGTCTTGTGAAACTCCTAGGTGAAATTCTCCATGTATAATTCACATACTACTCTCCGAACTTAGGAAATCTAGTTTTAGTTTTAAAGGCAGTCCATTGCTAAAACAAGCAAGAATACATAAGCGTCACCAAAGGATGATAGATTTTTATCTAAAAGATAAGACCCATTTACAATCCCTTCAAACTTAAAAAGACGTTTGTATCAGTGGGTAAAAAAAAGCTGTTCAACTGGAAACTTCCCTGAAGACTCTTTGGTGGGACTGAGCTCAGTGCCAGAGGGGGAGAAAAAGGCCCAGCAAAAAAGGGGTTACATCCGGACCTGTGGGAGGTGCCCGCCCGCCATCTGCGGGCCTATAAAGCCTGCCTGCAGCCGCCGGGGGCCAACCAACCGACAACCACCGACAACCGACCGGGTGGCCTGCCGAGGACAACGGGCTGGCCTCCGGAGCCTCCACACTCCTCTCTGGCGTCCCGCGAAGGTCCCGATTCCACCCCCAAGTCCAGAATTGCTGCCACCCCCCAGCCGTGAGCGCATCCCGGAGGCTGGCTGAGCTGCCCTCCCAGGGACGGGGGACGGGTCTGCTCAGAGGACACACGCAGGTGGCCAGCGGCGGCCGTGCAGGTAAGCGTGACCCAGGCTCTGGGTCTGTGTTCGGGTCGGCGCCGGGACGGAGACGGGCCGGGCAGACGGGGCTGGACGTCTCGGCTGGGTGCGGCACAAGACGGCGCACAGCCAGAGCAGATGTGCACAGACCGGGCACCTTCAGTGAGGGCGGCTCAGCAGGAAGGGTCTTTCATGACGCTGGCTGAAAACAACGCTAGCTGCTTTCCGTCCTGTTTTGTTCAAACAAGCATCTTCTCCAAGAAGATCGCCGGGGCTCTGACGGCGGCGCTTCATTTACTCCCTCAATGAGGATGCCCGCCAACCCGAGATTAATTTTATATATAAAAGATACCTCGTAGATCTGACAAAAATGTGGTTCATTTTTCTAGATCTGGACAAGCAGTGGCAATCTGAAACAAAATGATACCTGACTGTTTTATACTCAACTTTCTATTTGTAAATTCGTGGCCAACTTTCATGAGGAAAGTGTGTCAGCAGTAAGATTCATGCTTATCTTTTCATCAAACCACCATGAAAACAGCATTGGTCAAGGATCAAAGACCCATTGACCCGGGAAAGAAGTGACGGCCAACACCTAACGAGCACAGGGGAGGGCAGGTGTGTCTCAAGGGCTCTGCTCACCTTGGAGTTTCCTAAGAATCAGTCCAAAACTTGCCAAAATTCCCACATTTAAAAAGCAAAACAAATACTCGAAGGGGTTTTTACAGAGAAATTTACAAACAGAGGCTTTAAACATTACAGATGGAATCTGAGAACAACGGCATTTATGTGGTTCAAATTGGGAATACCTACCAAAGATGAATAAAGAACACAACACAACTAGTAAAATCCAGTTTATCAACCCCAGTGAAGCAGAGGTTATTGAACCCTTTTAAAATAACTGACACCAAGGTCCCGATTCATCTCTTTCCTCTTTGTTTTTTAGAAACTCTGTTTTCAAGCAATAGGTCAGTAAGCACCGGCTGCTCTGGCAACTTTGAAAGCGCTCCCTGGCCACCTCCCAGGAGAGGCAGAAACTCTCCCAGGTGGTCACTAAGGCTCCTCCACCCCGGCCCTGCCGACGGGGCCACCCCACAAAGCTGGGGCCACCTTGCCCCTCCCCAGCCGTGATGCCCGAGACCGCAGACCCTGCCCAGGGTGCCCCGTCAACGCCACAGAGCCTCTGGGGAGCGTGCTGAGCAGAGCCTGTGTCAGGCCGAGCGCGTGAGCGGCCACCAGGGCGAGACGGTCAGAAGCAGAGGTCTGGGAGGGTTGCTCTTCCTAGCCTCCAAGTCACAGCGTTTCTAGGTTGCAAACAGCAGTGGAGAAATACATTCGGTTTTACAATAATTTGTCAAAACAGTGAAAAAAATTCAAATCTTATTTCCTAAAACAATGACCACCTTTATTTCTCATGTTCTCTCATTCCATGTTCTGAAAACAGTTCCGTGTTCGGCACCCAAACTTAGGGTTAGCCGAAAATGCTAGACTTCTTTGATCTGTATTATTGCAAGAAAAAAGACTCTGCTCTACCTCTCACCAAGCGTGCTGGGCCCACTCCCTTCCAGAAAAGGCCGTTTTTCCCCTTCCCGTCTTAGTTCTCTTTCAGCAGCCGCCGAAATAAAACTATTTCGTCTCCTGACCACAACCCTCCTAAGGCTTCCACGCGAACATCCAGCCGTGCTCCCTCCTGAGCTGCGTCCGGGGGCCTGAGCACGAGTCACCGCCAGCTGCACTCAGACCCAGTGGCCCTGGGGGCCCTGGGGAGAGAACACGGGCCGTGCTCTGCGCTTGACTCCCCTGCTCCAGCACAGGGCCGGCCGGCCCTCCAAGCGGAGGGGACACGTCCAGGCCTGCCCCGCGCGCTCGTGTGCGGCACCGTCCCGCATCATCAGCGAGCCCTGGAGCCGCCGGGCTTGAATCCTCTGCTCTTGCTTCCCCAGGTGCCCGGGAGTGAGGGGCTCAGGTGTGGCGTGGACACAGCCGCAGACCCAGAGGCCAGGCAGAAGCACAGGCCAGAGCGCAGGCGCCGACCTCCACCTCCGGTTGCACAAGTGCCCCTGGGGCCTGCTCTGCTTTTCCAGATGCCTGGCTCGCTTCCAAGAGCATCCCCTTTCCTTCTCAAGAGGGATTTCCTGTTAAAAAACGGTTTCTGGGAGCCTTGCGGCAAATCCTGAGAGGCCGGCTGTCCCTCCGGGCGCCCGGCCCAGCATGGAGACGCCGCCGGGCGCCTCCAACGGCTCCTCCAGCGGCCTCGGCCTGCCCCGCACGCTGGCCAACAGCTCGGCCGCGCTCTCAGAGCAGCAGCAGCGCGCCGTCGGGCTCTTCCTGTCCTGCCTCTACACCATCTTCCTCTTCCCCATCGGCTTCGCGGGCAACCTCCTGATCCTGGTGGTGAACATCCGCTTCCGGGAGAAGATGACCATCCCCGACCTGTACTTCACCAACCTGGCGGCCGCGGACCTCGTCCTGGTGGCAGACTCGCTGATCGAGGTGTTCAACCTGGACGAGCAGTACTACGACATCACCGCACTCTGCACCTTCATGTCGCTCTTCCTGCAGGTCAACATGTACAGCAGCGTCTTCTTCCTCACCTGGATGAGCTTCGACCGCTACCTGGCTCTGGCCAAGGCCACACGCTGCGGCCCGTTCCGCACCAAGCCCCGCGCGCGGCTGAGCTGCGGCCTCATCTGGATGGCCTCCGTGTCCGCCACCCTGGTGCCCTTCACCGCCGTGCACCTGCAGCACAGCGAGGACGTCTGCTTCTGCTTTGCCGACGTCAGGGAGGTGCAGTGGCTGGAGGTCACGCTGGGCTTCGTGGTCCCCTTCGCCATCATCGGCCTCTGCTACTCGCTCATCGTCAGGGTCCTGGTGACGGCGCACCGGCACCATGGCCTTCGCCCGCGGAGGCAGAAGGCTCTGCGCATGATCCTGGCCGTGGTCCTGGTCTTCTTCGTGTGCTGGCTGCCCGAGAACGTCTTCATCAGCGTACACCTGCTGCAGCGTGCGCCGCCCGGGGCCGGACCCTGCCAGAGGTCCCCCCGCCACGCGCACCCGCTGGCCGGCCACGTGGTCAACCTGGCCGCCTTCTCCAACAGCTGCCTCAACCCCCTGGTCTACAGCTTCCTCGGGGAGACCTTCCGAGACAAGCTGCGGCTCTACCTGGAGCAGAAGACCAGCCTGTCCGCCCTGAACCGCTTCTGCCACGCGGCCCTCAAGGCGGCGGTCCCGGACAGCACCGAGCAGGCCGAGGTGAAGTTCAGCAGTGCCGTGTAGGGGGGGGGGGTGGGGGGGGGGGTGGGGTGGGCGGGAAGGGCCAGACACTGTGCCCCGCGCAGCCCTAAGGCACCCTCCCGCTGGCCACTCACACACAGAGCTGTCCATCCATCTGGGTCATGAGCACGGGGCACGGACCCCCGCACACGCTGGATCATGTGGCAGACGTTTCTGACACCGCCAACGAGAGCGAAAAGGAGGGGAACACTGGGACGTGCCATAAATTTGCCATTTTAGAGGAACAGAACTCACGCACCTAGCGTGAACTGGAGGTGGCGGAACACTTTCCGCGCCTCCGTGTGTGTGTGTGCGTGTGTGCTAAGTGGGAGGACGCCGGGTGCCCTGCACCTCCCGCCAGCCTGGGGAGGGATGTTGCTGTGCGCCTCCTGAAGGGCAGAGTGAACGCAGCGGTAACAACGACAACGCAGACCCCTCTCGTCAAAACGTAAAAAAGAAAACCAGCTGAGTCTGGGAATGTCCAGTCTTTGTCAATAAAGTACAGCCATGCCGATTCTTCCGAATTCTCCACCTGAGCAGCTCCCTAAGGGGCCGGGTGGGGGGTCACTCAGAGCCCCAGCAGCAGGACCACCCCTTCCTCACCAAGAAAAAGCTCCCCAGCGTCTGGAGGCGCCCTCACTGCCCGGAGGACTCTGCAGACTCCAGCCCAAGCCCTGGACGCTCCTGGCACCTGGACGGTGCCTGACACGGGTGCCACACGCTCTCTGGGCGCCAGGATAATCTCTACTGCAAACGCATCACACAGCCTCGCTCTTCTAGGGGTTCTACAGGGCTGGGCCCACCCGCCCTGCCCAGGGCCCCCTCCCACCCAGAAGCACAACCAAGATGGGACGCGGCTGGCCTCGCCGGGAGGACGGTGAACAATGTTTAAGTGACAGGAAGCGAGCCGTTTTTAGTTTTAACAGTTCTCGATGAGTGCAAACCTCCGACAGAGAGTATCTGTCCCAAGGCAATATCTGCGTTCAACAAGCGCCGTCTCCAGTGGCTCAAGCCCCACCGAAGCCTCGCTTTCCACACAGACTCGCATCTTACGAGGTGAGAGCTGTTATTAAGTTCCCTGACCCCCGCAAGTCCCCATCGCAGGAGCCCCAGCACTGAGGGCTCCATCAAGTGCACACTTGCTCTCATCCCCGCTGGGAGGGTGGTGATGGCCGGGACAGGGACAGACAATGTGTTAGTGAACGGGGCCTGTCCCCGACGCTCCAGCAAACCCAGGAGGTGCACGCGCGGCCCCAAGAGTCTGACTTGACCGCTGGAAACCTTAAGCAGTAACGACACAGCCAGGAACCAGGTCCCCTCCCTGTGTGCTCGGCTTCCCCTGGTCTCCAACAGGTAGGAGCAAACCACGCGGAAGCCATGCAAAGCCACCCGAGGTCACAGTCCCCGTCCTTCCCCAGAGGTGCCCGACATCAGGATATCTGGGTGGGAACTGCGTCCGACCGAGGCCCCAAAGTGTTGATCAGGGACGGGGCAGCCCTCACTCCGTGGGCTGGCTGGGTGTTCACAGAACCACCCCCCACCCCCGCTGGCTAATCAGAGGCAGCTTCCATCCCGCAGTCCCTGGTTCACCTGAGATCACAGAGCAAACCTGTCCTCCTCACACCTGACACACACCCAAGCAAGCACCGAGGCCTCGAGAGCTCTGTGGGCAGAGACATGAGTCAAACAGGGCCCCGCGCAGCACCTGCCACTCAGCTCTGGAAGCCCATTTCCTGATCTGCAAAACCAGCGGCACAATGGCTCCGAGGGCCCGTCGGGGGGAAGGCAGGTACAAGGCAGAGGCCCCGACTTAACCAAAAGGGGTTCTTACTGAACCAGAGGCTGGACCAGGTGCTCCCGGAGTCCCTTCTCAGCCGAGACCCTAGAGCCCTGGCTCCGGGGGCAGAGCCACGATCAGCGCCCCCAGCGGGCTCCGAGCACGCACAGCCGCCCGCCGGCGCACACACGTCCTTCTCGGGGCGTTTATCTGAGAGCGGAGGCTGGTTTCACGATTTTCGCTAGAGCAGCACAAGGTAAAGTCAAGGCGTCCGACGGCTTTGCTGTTTCCTGGTAACCCCGCTCTCCTGGGCAGCAACGCTCTCCGAACCCCACCAAGAGCACAGAAGTGGAGAGCAGCCAGCACGGAAGGCACGGCGTCAGCGCCGAACGCGGCTTCCTAACGTCCTCTGTGCTTAGAAACTCACTCCCCTGAGCCTGGGAGGGCCCTGGCGGGAGGGCTGTGTACCCACCCCGTTGGAGGGAAGGCTGGGCCCTAACCTCCGTCTTGGCCGGGGTATGGGGGCACCTCTGAGACGACCCTAAACCACCATGACCGAGCACATTTAGCGAGGGTGCTGCCATGACGGACGCGGAGACGGGAGGGGGAAGAGCAGGTGGCGAGCACCCGTGGGCGCGCGTGGGAACTGGAGTTCGGGCTTCAGCCCCAGTGTCTGTGGCGGGAACGTGCACGGGCGCGTGTGGTGTGCGTGTGCCTGCTGGGCGTGAGCACCTCAGACGCGGACGGGGTGTGTGCGGACACGCTGTACCTTCCCCAGCCCACCCTGCCCAGGCCTGGGCCTCCAGCATCCATACCCTCACAGGAGGCAGGCGCCTCGGGGTCCTGGACAGGGTGTCCTGCCAGGAGGCGAGAAGCATCAGGACAATAATAGGGCCACATCACCAGGACACAGGGACCCAGCTCAAGGGTTCCCACTGGACGACCTGGGCAGTTTGAACATCGAGATCATTAGACGGGTAAGTAACCCTCAACTATTGAAAAATGAGAATCCACGAGTCCATCCGATAACAAACATATAAATATCACCTACATAAACTGAGCAATGAAGTAAATACAAGAACCCATAGAAATGAAGGAAGGACTGAAGGGAGGAGTGAGTGACTAGACGGGAAGGACCCTGCTCAGAGCAGAGGCCGGCTGACTGGTCCGGCAGAGGGTCCTGGAGGGCTCGTCACACACGACTGTCGCGCAGCCTGGGACAGGCGAGACCCCTGACGTGGCTAAAGCAGGGGCACTCGCTGGACCAGGAGCAGGACGCCCGACCGCTTTACCGCGGGGAACAGTGACCAACAGCACAGAGACGGGACGGCCCGCAACTCGGGGCTTCCGAGGAGCCCACCCGACGGGAGTCCAGACGCGGACCCCAGGGCAGGGAGTGCATCCCCACGTCCGAATCCAGGATCACAGCCAGAATCTAATGGGGGGGAAGCACCACCCGGTCCGAAACAGGGGCAGGAGGCAGCCTCCACCCACAACACCACGTCACGAGAGACAAAGGAGGCGGAGGGCTGCTCCAAATTAAGGGACGGTCGGGAGACAAGCATCTAAACCAGAACGTGGTCCTGGGGAGGACGGTCCCAGGAAGAAAAAGTGCTACAAGCAGGGGGTCAGCTGGTGGAAGTGGACCCCCCAGTAGACTAAAGTATCACATTGGCGCTCGACTCCCCGAGACCGAGGGCCACTCTGCCACTGGGGGAAGTGAGGTGATGCCCTCACGCTAAGGGGACACACACAGAGCGAGAACGCATGAGCACTTTAGGCGGCAAAGCAACTGGGACAAGTGTGTGCAGTGTCAATTCCATGCTGGGGTGCACACTCAAAGGGGTCGGAACAGATGCTCCAACAAGTACTTGTGCACGAGTGTCCAAGGCAGCTCCCATCACAGTAGTTGGCGGTGGAAACAACCCAGCTGTTCATCCACAGGTGAATACAACTCGGTCCGTCCACACGGCTCCTTGGCCCCAGGAGGGCATGAAGCACTGACACCTGCTGCAACACGGGGGAGCCCTGAACACACAGTGCTCCGTGAGAACCAGTCAGGAAAGGACCGCACCGGGTGAGTCCGCTGACGTGAAACGCCAGAGCTGGCAAATCCGCAGAAAGGAAGCAGGAAGTGGGTGCCCGGCGCTGGGGGACGGGTGGGCAGGGGCTGCAAACGGGGACAGGGTGAAGCAAGCGTCTCTCGTTAGTGACCCATGACGGCCATACCGCTGTGAGCCCCTGAGAATCACCGTCGCACCCAAGTGCAAAGGGTGCGGGGACAGTAGGCAAGCTGCATCTCAGGGAAGCTGCTCCTGGAAAGAACCGGGCGCAGTACTGGGTCCTCTCCCACACTGCCTGCCCTGCTGGACGTTCAGCCCTGCAACACGCCTCGATGCCACCGTCCGCTTCTGCCCACAGAGGGGAGACAGCCTGCACGGCCTGAAAACGTTAAGGTTTAAGCTGTCTGGAATCTGAGAAGCTTCCGCTAACGCGTACTGCAAGTGTTCTCAATAAAGTTGTCTTCTTCCTTACTGCCTCGTAATTCAAGTTTTCTTTTCTTTCCCACAGTGGGAGACTAATCATCTGGGGTGTCCTCTGATATGTTTTTAAATCAAAAATAAAGGGAAAAAGACTTCAGTAAAAACTATAGCTGAATTTACTAGGTCATGCTCCGGCGCTTCATAAAGCCACGAAGGCCGGTTCTGTCCCTGTGACGACTCTCTATGGGGCACCCAGGGACCTGCGGCCTGGCAGTATGGCCAGCACCCAGGCAGGGCCAGGGGGGCATCCCTCACCCACCAACTCCCCAGGCACCCCCAGCTCTCTGCGGCACGAAGGAAGGGCGCAAGGGCAGAAGGGTGCGGATCGACCGCCGTCTCGCCGGGGCGCTGGCACCGGGGCAACCTGCTCAGAGCTCCGGGAAATAGGCACGTCCCAGCTATTCCTGTGCCACTTCCTCCCCAGCGACTTCCTATCTGTGATAGAGCGCCTCCTGAGCCGGGGCGCGGCGGCCGCACAGAAGCGCCTCCTCTCCGGCCAGGTGAGGTGTCTGTCTGAACATCTCCTGCATCAATCGTTATCACGGAGACCTGCCTGCCAAGCACCCTTCTGGGGCATCACCGAGGCCTGTCTGAAGATGATGTTGGCACTTAGCCTCACAGCTGGGGGGACTCCAGGGACAGTGGAAAGGGGGAGGAGGAGGGCAGAGTCACCTGCGCCAACC